ATATATTACATATATATATATTTTTTTTTTTTTTTTGAGAGGAAGTCTCGCTGTCGCCCAGGCTGGAGTGCATTGGCACGATCTCAGCTCGCTGCAGCCTCCGCCTCCCAGGTTCAAGCAATTCTCTCGCTTCAGCCTCCAGAGTAGCTGGGATTACAGGGGTGTGCTACCATGCCTGGTTAATTTTTGCATTTTTAGTAGAGACGGGGTTTCACCATGTTGTCCAGGCTGGTCTTGAACTCTTGACCTCAGATGATCCACCAGCCTTGGCCTCCAAAAGTGCTGGGATTACAGGTGTGTGAGCCACTGCACCTGACCTATCCAAAATATTTGTTTTGTTTTGTTTTGGCTTGGTTTTGTTCCTTTTTTTTTTTCCCACTAATCCAAAATATTTTTAAATGATGTCTCATGGTTGTTCTAATTTGCATTTTAGTTACCAAATAACATGCTTACTGGCTATTTGTATTTCATCTTTTGTGAAATGCCTACTTAGGTTTTTTGCCCACTTTTCTGTTTAAGTTTCTTTTTATTGTTTTACCAGTAAAAATAAACTAGGTATATTCATTTATTTACTGTCCTATACATTGCAAATTTTTCTCTATCATATATCTGAGGTATTTTTTCCATATCTATCTTTTCCTTTGTGACTTCTGGCTGTGGGGTCACGCTAAGAAAACATGAATTGAATTTAACTTCTTCCCCATGTGTCGTTCAAACTCTGGTCAGACCTTGAGGTCTCCAAAAGAGGAAGGGCATGCTGGGACCAGCTTTGAAGACATGCAGGCCAGGCCCCCAGCCCAGACAGCAGTGGTGGAAGCAAGCCATGTGTCACCCACAAAGGACCTCAAGATCACACAGGATATGGCAGTCCCCAGAAATATTCCCAAGAAATAGTCCCTAAACTTTTAAGTGACAATACCTATTTTCACCATCTTGAAAGGGTAGAAAGAGACAAAATCATTTGTGCAAAAGGACAACAAAGAGAACACAGGCTAAGTACTAAAGCATTTACTCAAAAAATATGGGTGATTGGCCAGGCACGGTGGCCCATGCCTATAATCCCAGCACTTTGGGAGACCGAGGCGGGCAGATGACTCGAGGTTGAGAGTTCAAGACCAGCCTGACCAACATGGAGAAACCCCATCTCTACTAAAAACACAAAATTAGCCAGGCATGGTGGCGCATGCCTGTAATCCAGCTACCTGGGAAACTGAGGCAGGAGAATTGCTTGAACCCAGGAGGCGGGGGTTGTGGTGAATCGAGATCGTGCCATTGCACTCCAGCCTGGGTAACAAGAGCAAAACTCCATCTCAAAAAATAAATAAATAAATAAAATATGGGTGATTGACTTCCAAGTGCCAAGCATTTCCCTAGGGCTGGGCACAAAAGTTTCTATCTATCCTTTGTAACTTGAGAGTTTAGTTGGAAAAACAGGCCTTAATCAAAGAATCACAGAAAAAACAAATTTTTCAGGTGCAATAAGAGTCATCAATTAGAGATATACAGGGTATTAAGGGTATGAGAGGTCATGGAAGAGAAATAATGAAAAGGGAAAGGAGCATCCCTCACA